CGGCAACAACATTCCAATGTGCAACGATCGATGCCGCCGTTTGGCGTCTCTCCTTCTCCTCTTCCTCTCCTCCTTTCCTCGTTTTGCTCAATTTGCCGAGTCCAATCATCGGGGCTAGAGAAGAGGCGGAGAAAAAGGTGGGAGACGACGACGACGACGGCGAAAACGACGGTGTGCGAAATGCAATCCGCTTTTTGATTTTCTGTGCGTTGCCGTTTCTACTGCTGCTACCGCTGCAATTGTTACTTGTGTTTTTAGACCGCGTGCGGATCGAAGGAACAGCGCTACGCAAACCGACCGACCGACCGACCGGCCGGCCGGCCGGCCGGCCGCCAGCGAGCCAATGACAATCAACAACAAATCGGCCAGTAGCAGTCAGTTGACCAAACAAACGTCGCTGAACGTAGCATCACTCACATAGCCAGTTACTCGCAGTTGCTGCAACAGCAGCTGCATTCCCGTGCAGGAGATTTTTTGTCTTATCTTCTTATTGCTCTATGTGTCCGTCTGTCGGGCTGTGGTTCGGAGCAGTCCGACCAGGTCAGTAAAAGACGGAACCGCTTCTCCGTTCTAATACGTCTCGATATCTTTCACTATAGCAGCAGCAGTAACAACAGTAGTTTTTGCGGGGACAAGACCTCGACATCTAGATGCTACATGCCAAGGCGTTGTTGGCTTTTGGACATGAGCTTTTTTAGCCCACATCCGTCATTTGTGACATCAAGTAACAATACGATCTAAACATTTTTGAACTGCTTTTATCGCTATCGATAAAAAATTGTTTAGTTGAAAGCATTTTGGAACAAAGTACTTGCAGATATTTATGAACACGTGCTCTTTTATCGATCGTTTTCCTCGCAAGAACGCCGAATCTAACAAAGATGTTGACGTTATGGCCTATTGGCTTTTTAGCCTGAATTCAGCACTGAAGCAGCAACGAAAGACAAGATGGTAATTGGCGATATTGCTCGGTAACCAAACTAGACAGTTGTTATCAAGTAGAGAAATATGCAGAAGGAAACAACGTGTACTCCACTGTACCTGGAGCAAATAAGGGTATTTCCTGTTCCTTTGGCTGGCGATATTCCAATCGACTAAGCGAGCACCCTTGTGACTTTGTGAGTAATCGTATGAAATTCATTATGCTATCACTACACGGCAAATCCGCCCTATCGAAATAATTAAGGTTTACCCGCTCTGTAGAGATACAGAGCACGGAAACGCGACACGTTTACGTTGAATCGATGCGCAATCTGCTTCAGTTTTAGGGTATGTCTACTGAAAATCTTTAAACAGACATAACACTCAATTACAACATTTATTCTACAAACGTCACTTTGTCGACTAATTGATAATTTTCCATAAATTGCAAAAGGCATATTGAAGAAGGATGTTTGTTCCAAGGACAGAGACCGTCGGCTTCCGTGAAGCAGCCGAAACAGTATGAGAAGCTAATATAACACAGTGTGGTTACATACTGAGATTTTTAAAATATATGCTTTGAACCTAGCACATGTCAATAATCAACCATTTCGAATTAACAACTATATGCGCACAAATTTTCAGGTTGAATTGAGATAGCAAAAATTCCATTATTTTTCACCACTATAAACCTATGGTTTATCCTCCAGATCTGAAACCAGTTAGTGAGTAATCTAAAAGCAAACTTCAACAATCAGTCGAGCGATCATTGATTGCCGAACGTGAAGTTAGCTATTTAACTTTATCATCGCGCGATCCGTCTGTCAGTCAAACGCAAGTCGCCGACGCTGAACTTTATCGGTTATACAGTCTCGTTGATTGAGTCCGTTTGTAGGGCTTAACGATTACTTACTCCAACTACTACGAAACTCATGCCAGCTGGTCCGACGTTTGCACCGCGGGTTCGATTCCTTGTTCTGGAAATAAGATTGCTACAATTTGTTGTTTGCCCTTGGGGCGCGTGGCAAAAGACGACTGCCACGTCGCACCTCTACCTACGATTTATTAAGGGAGACCACACCCGGCGTGCAGCCGCACAAAGAGTAAACCTCACCAACCATGCCAGCGTACTAGACTACCGCAAGGTTCGAAGATAAGAGCGCGCTTACAAGTATGGCTTCAAGACAAGTACCTCACAGCCAACAATTATCCGTATAGCAGACGAAGCGAATATGATCAGAGGCAGTAAAGATCATCATTCACTGCCAGTATTTGTGACATCATGATCGGCGTCATCACTTGTCTAGTGAGCTCCACTCTGTTATGTACATTATATTGCGATTGAGGACAACGAGACATGCTGCCTGAGAAACAACAAATCGACTAGCACAATAAAATTAGGTTCCATCAATTTTGTTTATGGGTTGGGCAAATGATTCCGACATCGAAAACGTGATGTTACACCGCGTGACACCGGCACATGCCGACAAGAAGCTGCAGTAGTACATAACGTTTATTGTTGCAATCTGTTCTCTCGGTGAATCACTCGTGGTCTGGTTTGAAGCGCTTAGCGACAAATGAGGCTTGCAAGGCGCTTTACAAAGTCTTGCGTGAGAAAAAGTTAATTCCTATAGCCAAACTTAGCAACAACACTTTGTGGCCGTGAATAGCGCAGTAATAGTTACCTTTGCACATTATCTCTATTAACTTTTTTCAACAGGTGCTAATTCAACTTTCGTTTTTCTGGGTAGCCATATCTATAGAAAGGCCGTTGGCAGATCTACGATATAACGCACGTGCAGTATTAAAGCCTATGTAATATACCGCGTCTTTAAATGACGGTCAAATTGGGAACGCAGAACAATCGGACAATGAACAGGTGAAGACGATTTTAAACCTTTGGGAAAGGGTGCCGGAATATCCGTAAAAACGCCTCGATCTTCGATCGATGTTCGTTAAGGGAAACGCTCACGTGTGGTAGCCACACGACCAACTTCAGCAGTAGAGGCAATTACTACGGCGGACGGTAAAGCGCTGCTGGATTTAATCAGGCTGGATCGCTGGTTGATCGTAACGCCTTACTAACCAGCGACCGAGAAATCAGCTACAGGAGCGGCGACAGCGTTACCCGGCTGCCTTGTTGCCTCTCTGTTTTGTGCTTATGTTCTACCACTTCCGCTGCTGCCCTATTCGTTCCAATGGACTGTTGCGCTGCACGACTGATACGAGGAAAGCTGCAGCAAACCATGTACATACATATGGACACACAGGCATATATGCACACCCGAAAGAGCAACGGCGAAGTCGTTGATCGTCCACGAATGTTGTTGCTGGCTCCAGTCGAATCGTTGTTGCTGTCGGCTTTTGTGGCAACGACAATCGGCAAACAACAAGAACCAAGTATGACTGAGCTGCTGCTTCTAGCACTACAGCGGTGGCGACAGCAGATACGCCACGAGAGACGCTGATGGCGGCAACAACGCCGGAGGCACCAATCAACGGCCGACGATCGGCTAACAAGCACGAACCTACCAAAGAGCGAACGAAGAACGGAATAACAAAAAAAAACGATCACGATCAACCTGATGCAGTCATTTTGGACACCGCTGCCACCACAGCATCAGGGCGATGGTACAAGGTAGTATAGTATGGTCTGCTGTGGTTTGTTGGCACTCTGCTATAGGCCAAATGCTAACCTTGGTTATGGTGCCTTTCACGGAACAATTGTTAGTGGCTTACCGAAAAGGCTAACTAAAACACACATGTATATATATATATATATACATGTGTTTTAATTGTGGAAGAACTGTGGCGGCTTTTTGTGCTGTTACTGCAGTAAATGCTGTCACTATGGTGGAAATTTTCAGACAACGTTATAATTAGTACTATGCCTATCTAATTATTCTGCGATGTTGGGTGTTTTGTTTGCAAAGGACAAATATCGCTTCTTTCTATCATGTCGTTTTTCTCTACATTGTATATCACGATTACCACCATTATTTTACGTCGCTTCAAGATTATGAATGACTGTATTCGTGATCCACAGATCCATGTCTATGGTATATACAATTATTCGGTACCATTGTTTATAACAAACAACACTTTAAAACAAATGTAACGTTGGCAATAGTCCTATGATTTGACCAACTCCAATTAGAGCCGATGTTGTCCAAATAGAGTTTTTGCGTAGATGAGCCTTACTTCATTGCAGTTACTCTTCAATTCGTATATCTCCGCCTTGGCCGCAACTTGACTAAGATCCTCTGTCTTACGGATATTGTCGCGTGACAACGAAACCAGAATAACAATAGTCGATAACTAATTGAAAACAATGCGCTTCCGAGTCTACAGCGAACAGGTACCAGCCGCCTTGGTACGCCACGCATGCCTCTAACTAAAGATACGACCAGCAGCACCAAATAGTCAAACCAAACATACCTTTTATCTTTGTCACGCCGGGGCTAGTAAAGAAAAAGAAGAGGCAATACCCCGTTGACTAATGCAACCGATTTATCATTTAGCGACTGATGGTACTTGTCGAAAACAGGTGCATTGAATTAAGTACAGAACTGTTTGTAACTTTCGACTAGTACTGATTGTCGTTATCAAAGCGATTGATCCCGTCGCATTTATTATTATGATTATTAGAATCAAAGGAAACATCGAGTTTCTTCGGAGTGGGAAAACGTTTGCTGAGTAAAATGTCTCCCAACAAAGACGACGCCGGAAGGATCGCGACAAAATCAACTGTCTCTATAAAAAGAAAGATAACGCTGGCATGGAGCAGTGCCAGCAGCGAGCATAGAAGGAGGACGGGATAATTCTAATCGTACGTGGCGCAAAGGCGCTTGAAATACACGAGACCATAGCAATAGTCATAACAGCAGCGATGGCATAGACTACTATAGCTTCCTTGATACAAGGAGTATTAATGATCTCGTTGTTGACAGCGAAAAGTATAACTATCTATGAGTTTCTACCTACCACTGTTTTTGTCCTTATACCTCTTTTCTAAGCTAATCGCGCCGAGAAGACGGACCGCAATAAACCATAACTGTTGACACCGCTTAAAATTTCAGCTTCCTCTAAGGACACTGATGTTGATAATGCTCGGTGACTCCGTCTACGTAAAGCAACTTCTACTTCCACCGCTGGAGATACTGCTAAGTAGATTTGGTTTCAGAGTCGAAGTCTGGAATGGAACGTTGCATTTCCCGCTATTGATAATCACCTTTACTTCATGACTCTTCGATAAACACAGGTAGACATTTACATTTCGGCGACAAGACGGCATTGATTTTGCGCATGTGTTGCTATCCCCGCTGGGTTTTCGCCAGATAAATTCATATCGCATCAATATAGATCATCATTTTATAGACGTCTGTACAAGACCATGTCTGATTATTATTGATTAGGTAGATATGGATAGCGTCTATCAATTGCCATAGTGGCCTTCGTGGTGTTTAGAATGTTAGATCGCTAACTGGAACCGTTGGCTACGTCGAACTGACGATGCAGACCCTTCAGTGGCACAACTTCTTCTAATAGAGTTGTTATTGAGATTGCTCGTTCCGCATACTGAATATGTGCTTACATTGGGCTCCACGTCGGCATCAAAGAAACAGCCATTACGTCACACAGTTATACTGTCCAGACGACTTCTACTATTATAACCATACTAGTAATAATGATAACAACCTACTGTTAACTAATGAATAGTTCCCGAGCTGCTCATCGACGAACGTCCATGTTCTTCGATTTATTAAAGTAGCAGGTTTATGTGTTTCGTGTTACTGCTGTCAGGAAAGGTTGGAAACTGGCAAAGTTGAGAGATATCCTATTTGATATTCACACTGCTACCGTTTTCGTAGATGCTTGTATGCCCTCGGCGCGCATCTAACCCCCCGCATGTATTGTCCTATGATATTCTTCAAGATCCAGCGAAAAAAGCAGCACCAAATTTCCAAACGCAAGGCCGGTTCCAACAGCAATGAAAATGGTGATGACATCGTCCACTCTCTAAAGTAGACGACGAAAAGACGTAATCAGTCTGCAAATCATCACCATCGTCATGTTGCAGTTCGTGCCCCAACGGTGACGACTGGTGATTCAAGGAGAGGTGACGCGCCGCTGGTCGTATCGATGCTGCCGCCATAGCTGAGCATAACAGGCAGAAAGGTTATATAAAGTGTACGCAGCGGGAGCAAATGTATCTATCTCTTTGGGCGCTACGTCCATTCTGGCGTCATAATACAACATTCGACAGTTATACACATACATGCATGCATACGCATAGTATCCCCGTTCTTAACTGCGCAGATCCCAGAAGAGGAGCTGGCAATCCGTCCATTCCTTACCGCGTTGCTGCCGTCAACGCTACTAGCAATGGCGATGATAATGGTGATGTCGACGATGTTGGCGACGGCGAGCACGGGCACGACAGCGTACGTGAATTGTACAAAACAGTGCTCTGGCTCCTGCGACGTCATCTTTGTTTCGTTGTTTTCTTTTTATTTGTACGCATTTGTAGGGGATCGGCCAAAGAAACGTATTGCATCCATGTAGACAATCTAATCATTTAGCCAGCCGAACGCGTCAGCCCCTCCCAGCTGCCTGCACAAGCCTGTTAAGAGCCAGCAGCGGCGGTTTCCGCCTGACCATTCGCCCTGAAAACAACCCTGAACTCTATATCATTCTGGAGCGAGCCAGCGAGTCTGCATTATCACGAGCATCAGCAGTAACTATATATATAGCAGCGCGACGATATGGAAAACAACAGTCGCCGTGCGCCGTAAGCACACCCACGCACACAGGCACGATGATGCGCAAACATCCGGTGACACTTATGAATAAATCAAAAGCGGGACCAGCCAACATAATTGGCAGTCTTCGCTCTTCTACTATTTTTATGGAGAGTCGTCCCCATTTCGCCGAAGCATCGACGGCACAAGGCAAGCCGCGCTGTCGTTGCTATTTCCTCCGATTCCCTTAAATTTCAACCTGCTTTTCAAAACGATGGCTATTTGTGTAGCATGCGAATCCGATAGTTTGATTCATCTATTCGATAGAACTTTCATGGAAGGTACTTCTCGGCGCCACCGGCAACACGTTCCCTGCCTCGCTGTTTAGTGACTCAGTATCTACCAAAAAGCTAATTGTACGGTTTCGTTCTCGAAGCTGTTTTCCGATGCAAGCACGTGAATTGCTGCAACCGACGGCTCCACGTGCTCACCATCTCGACCACGATTAGTATCAAGACGTATGTGTGTGCTCTCTATGCTTCATGCTTCCATGTAATCAAATATTAATGCGTCAAGCCACTGCATATTTTTCTACGATATACCCTGCCAGCATTGGGTCAGTCGATGAAATTGGAACAAAACAGAGTCCCAGGTGGATGAATAATCTCCAGTCAGCGAATTCATGGAATTTCTATCCCAAAGGAATCTACACTTCGATTTCGTCGCCAATAATGCGTGGTTAGTTGCTCATCAATTTGCGCGTGTTGTTATTGCTAGTCAGTCGAGCACGATCGATCGTGAGATGAAATGCTCTTCTCACCACCGGTCGCTACCGGTATCGTTGGCGGTTTTGAGGGGAGCAGGCGAGTAAACCAACGAATGAACAAATCGACGGCAGAACGATCGAGCTGAGGCAGCGAATCTAAGCTAGACTGAACGATGCTGGTGTTGCTGATGCTGGCGTCATGGCTGCCGGTCGCAGGTACGGACAATAGTGAAAAAGCCACGGCGATCGAGCAATGACTGATCAGTAGTAGACGCAGCAAAAAAGGAAACACAACCAGTTACCCCTCAGCAGCAGGACAAAGGTTGCCGTTGGCCGTCAGACTATCGACGGTAGCAGCCGAGAACGCCAGCAGCAGCGAAACGAAGACGACCAAAGAGTTGCAACCGTCACTGCCATCACCGCCGCGGCATTCGGCACACGTCTAGCGATCCGCCACGCAGCAACGGCCACAAGAGCACAAACAGCGAGCGATTACGTAGGAATGTTCCTCTTGACGCTGGCAACGACATCAGCAGCAGCTGCTGCTGCTGCTGCTGCTGCTACTGAATCGGTTGTCGATGCGAGCCGCGCCGGCGGCGACGACGACAACACGAACCCGGAGCGGAGAAAGAACGAACAAACGAACGAAGATTGTCGCTATTCGCTGACTCTAGGTGGCTAAGCAGCAGCACAGAAGCAACAGCAGTCGTCATAATGGAGGTATGCTATTGACCCAAATGGGACAAATCTAAGCGTTGAAACTTCTTAGATCAGGTTGTTGGCAGACATGGCGACAGCCACCGAATAAACGCAAAGTCTAGTCCGCCTTTACTGAAAGGTAACCCTCAAAATTGGAAAAACATGAAAAATTCAGTGCCCTGTGCCGCGGTTCGGTGTTACTGTTGGACTAATCTGCTTGAGATGCACACAGATGGTATCATTTAAGGGTTGTTTCGAGTGTCTCTTCCTATGAACGGAGGCCACTAACAATATAGCATTAAAGGTGCATGCAACAAACATCGCCCTAATTTATTGCTTCTTTTAAAGAACACTAATAACGTGTCCAGTCATATAAACGTATAGACTCAAGAACGTTGCGGTATATATGGAATTCGCGCCAGACCAACCAGGCGTGATATCTGACGAAAACATATCACCATGTAAGGGCCGCGGATTCCTGAAATGTCGTGTACACACATACTTCATGTGGCTTGGAGTGACCACATCTACTTGACGCGAGGAAACGATCAATAATTCTATGAACATCCTATCCTTCCACTGACCGATCAGTCGAATTACAAACGACTTGGTCCAGTTCTGATAACGATACTGTTGAACCAAAAGTCTCATCCAAACGGCTATTTTGAGACCGCATGTCCGTTTTATATAGTGTATAATGGGTGGGTACGAGTCTCCGTAATGGCTTAGTAGGAAACGTGCTTGCCTGCTGATCTTAGGGACACATTGTGGTCTAGCTTCGAATCAAGGCATCAACAGACCAGACTTCGTTTCGTGCTGGGATACCGGCGTCCGGGTGTACGGCAATACCAGACGTCAAACTCGAAACATAAAAGTACAAGTAACGCATGGCTGTACGGATGGAATTAATTTATCCCAAAAAAGGACCGTCTTCTTTTCTTAGTCTTTACTGACTGCTCTAACAGCAGCACAACGAGCGGAGATGACACTCTGAATGGCTACGAATAATTACAATGATGATGACATTACATCTTTTCGAGCCGTTGGTTGTACTAAAAAACATTAGTGCTTATTCCAGTGCCCACTGGAAACGTCTGTGGAAAGCCAGAAGATTCAAGTGTTCGATGTACGTTCTGTTCTGCGTTCGTTTCCAGGATTTTCGGTGCCATGTATCTTGCCAGAACACTGCTTCACGCATACACACGCCTATATGTATATATATAAAAAGATAAACGGTGCTCATCGACATAGACATTGCTGCGTTATTCAGCAACAGTACACGAGACAATTTCAAACCTAATTAGAGTTACGTTAAACGAGACGAGCGAAACGGAGTCGAGCGCGGTACTTGTCTCCGTTGAAGGCTGAGCGCCAGCAAGCACCAGTTAACCACATACCAAAACTGTAGACAGATAACGTGACCAACCAACAAAAGGCTTACCACAGCGCAGGTAAGGCAGTAATAAAAGACGGCGGAAATTGCCAGCTATGGGGTCAGTGAATCACTCGATTCATAGTAATTCTGTAATTGTTCTCTACAGTATGCGTCTACCAATTCAATCAATATTAACTAAAGAACATCAACAAGTTGTAATCAAAATACGAAATGATTAGAACTGATCCAAACTATCAGAACCTCATCCTCAATATGAAAGTAACTACTACGCGTAAAGTATTTAATTAACGCCATTTTATCCTAGGGATACTTCAAAAGTATTCGACATGCATCGAAATGCCGATATTGAAAATGGTCGGGCGCCGGTCAATTTGAACGTGCCGTCGTCAACAGCTTTTGGAGATCAACTATTTTTGGAGATAAAAACATTTTATCAAAAGGAGCGCTCATCACATGCGTCATTTGCTAGTGACATGAAGTGTCTTCTCGATACCGTTGCTCCTGGTTCTGCGCATGAGACATTGGCACAGTCTGTATGGGTCCAAAAAAAAAGTCCAGCAGCTTGGAGACACCAAATAGAGCGTGTAAAACGACCGCCGAGTGTCAGAAGGCTTTTTGCGCATAGGTAAATGAAAGCGGCTTAAACGCGGGCGCGAATGGTACGAAATTTGCTACTCTGGCTAACACATGACCACCCTTGTAATTCCGGCTCCCAGAGAACCACAAACACACGTACATTAAATATATCCGTTTATTGCTAACCTATTCCGTTTGGCAAATGGTCAACCATTGGAAGGCTGTTTCTTAGCTTTAAAAGTGTATTGGTATCGTTTTGCTCAGTTTGCAAAATTTAGTGCGGACCTAAGATTTATGCTTCACAGTTTAAACGAGGATCGTTTCGAGCCTACATGTTTGAGCTATAGAGTCCTCACCATACACGGAAGAGACATCTCATTTTGCTTCAGCATATATTTACCATCGGCAGAAGATCGGTGCCCCAAATTTGTTTCTTTTTCGTCTGTCAAGCACTGTCTCCGTCTCTGGGATCCGAAACCAAAGCAAAATTTTGTAATAACGAAGCATTAATAACAAAAGCAATTTGGACTTTCGTATTTAACCAATACTTAATTATCATTATCATCAAAGGAAGCAAAGGAGGATCAATATAAAAATGGCTATTACTTTCTTACCAATCAATACTGAAAGAACGAGATTTATATATATATATATATATATGCTATCGAAAGGTGCGTAGTAATCCACCATCGATTTCTGAAAATTGCAGAAGATATTGTCGAAGACTTATTGCCAGCAGTTTTTCGTACAGAGAAAGTTTTCATAGGATTAGAGAATTATATGACAGAAAAGGCTAGTCTAGTATGAAACTAGAAATGAAATGGTGGCTTAACGTTCACAGGTTTCCATTTCACGAATCGACATGTATATTACAAGGCCATGTCGCTCATTAGTTCGAAGCTGTACAATCGAAGGCATCGCAATAGATATCTTGTGACTTTGCTATAAGATGCTAGATGTAAGTGGTGAGCAGTTCGCAATCGCTATTCTAATGCGTTTGCTAAAACAGCCATCGTCGAAATAAGATATACACGCACACACTGAGCATCTGTCGTACAAGGCCTGACTTCAGAGAACGGACTTCGATGAGCGATTTTGTTGCCTCCGTTTTAGATTCTTATCTAAAAGCAACTAACCGTTTGAGCTTGTCGTCGACACTGTCCTCCCGTATCGTCGTACCTTAAACTGAATTCAATGTGTAACTGCGTATAATGTCACAACTAATCGTGTCGAACAACATTAAAACAGCGTGTTCATGCTTATCTTTTTTTATCCTTGTCCGCCCTTTGTCCAAAAGTGCTCTAGAGCTCCCAGCTCTGAGGTCTCTTAGATATTACTACCGTGAAGTATGCACTTCATCTCGTAACCAGACTTGATAATTGCTAATAGCTTTAGGGAAGAAATTTCATCGAATCAAGATCTGGCTCTAACAAAAACGTCAGTTTAGCATTAAAATATTTTCCCTAAAAATGCCACGTACTGTTTTTTTTTTAGTTGACTTACCAATCGCTCAAATTTGCATACGATCCCTTTGTGTGTATGGTATGCCGTTTTAGGTCTACTTTAGGTGTGTGGGGTTGTCACCATCTTGTGTTATAGTGTCCTGTCTACAGAAGCCAGCAAGAGGATTTAACATTTTCACCCATTCGCCCGCTTGTTTGTCATTAATCTGAATATTGACGGCGACTGCATCATCCATAGCAGTTGCAGTGACTTCGTGACTGTGTTTGTGTGTATTTTTGTGTGTCACTCTATGTGTGCGTGCGTGTCGATACGTCTTCTCGAGATTGATGTAAGGCAGATAAGCATTGAGGCAAGCATTACGTAACTAGTAAGGCATCTCTTCTGCGTGTATAGATCTGTTTTCGTTTTCTGAATTTCAGTGCAGTGGGAATGGATCATGCCATCAACATCTCAACCCGACACCCACTGAAGCAAGCAAGCAAACAAACAGGCAGGCAGGCAACCGGCTAGGGCAGGAGATTCAGAGCTGGCAGTCTGCGTTGTCGGAAAGCCTACCGAAGCAGCTGACTTCTATTACCGGAAGATCCCGACTACCGTCGAATCTCGTTCTGTCTCATTAATGCATTCATTCATTTTTGGCCGTTGGAATGTTCGTTGGCTTGTTGTTTATTGGTTCTTTCGCCTTTCTGCTCGTCTACCCTCCTATTCTGTCCATAAGCAATACGACGCTTAAGCAAGCAGGCTCGCCGGCCGGCTGGCTGGCTGGCTGGCTGGCTGGCTCACTGGCGGTTGGTAGGCTGAATGGAGCAACGCTGTTTCGTAGCTATTTCGCGACTGCTGCAGCAACGGCAAATGCCTTCGAACGGCCGTCGTCGTCGAATAACAAACAGCAGCGCGCAACTGGTGACTAGAACAGTGGCAGCGAACAGCGACTGCATTCCTCTGTTGCTCTAGGAATGCAAGGTCGCTTACTCCTCGCTCACCGAAACGGCGGAACGCGCGAACACAGAACGACAACGACGACGCCGACAACAGCCATATAATATAGCAACAGCAGCTTGCAAGCATTACCGCGGAAACCCTTTTAGTCAACACTGGCGACGACAACCCTGCAGTCGACAATGACACTCATCAGAACGTTCGTCGACGTCGACATCGACTTCGATAACAATAGCAGTGATGATTAGGCCACTACGTGACAACTGCGACAAGCTGTTGCTAGCATGATCGTCGTCGTCGTCGTCGTCGTCGTCGTCGTCGTGGTAATGGCGCTTCAGTGGAGCGGTTGTTCAATTGACAGCAGTTGAACTGCAAACGAAGTAAAATTGTACGGCCATCAAGTATCGCTACCGGACTTAGTGACGCGCATAAGACCAATAGACAAACAGACAATACGTAGACAACAGCAACTACCTCATTATCATCATCATTTTCAGCATCGCATTGTCAAACCATACAGAAACTTAACTTAAGTAGAAACAAGGTAAGGACTACAGCCGCAAAAGTCGTACTGGGTATTGCTCGCCGTCCTAGTACGAGCAGTTCTGTTATGGCAGTTGCTGATATTCGCAGCACCAGCCGTGCTGCCGGTACTAGCCAGATCACGCTAACGAAAATCGTGGCTGTAATAGTTATCGCTGTGATATGTAGAAGCTACTAGAATATTTTGAGTCTTGCCTTTGGTACTTAGGTTGTTAAACTTTACTTCAGACAGCTAGCTGCCCGCACAAAACAACCTGTATCCGTGTACATTCAGCCTCAAGCCTTTGATCTCAAGTATAGCTCTCTCTGCCCAAAGACTTGACCCCTGCACCTTTACCACAGGAACTTGCAAAGGCTACTTATACTATCACTGAGGAAAAAGATTGTAGCGGATCTACCAGTTAAGGTGGCTACATTGATCGGTGTGTCCGACTGCAGTAAACCGATGAATCGATGCAAGCGCACGATAGGGCACTGTACGCATACATGATGCCGAACGCGACCGTTCCGTACAGCAAATACTACTATACGTTAGCTCTTTTTTTCTTGTTGATTTGACGATCCATCTGTCTAAAATGAGGCATTACGACTCGCGCTTTCAGCAAGGCAAAGTGAATCCGACGTTCATTTACGATTACGAGGACCAAACCTCTATATGTAGCTATTTGACTGGCACGTAGTGCCGGGTCTCATGTGTACGTTTCCAATGTGAAATACAGGGCTGATTAGAGATCAAAGGCTTTTGTAGTGGTTAGACCAGAAATTTATACGACGGCACGCTACCTTTAAACGCAAAATTGACTCTAATGCCCTAGCTTAGCTCATAACCATGCTGTGGAGGTAACACGCAAGAACGATCTGCACATATCCGGGAAATCAAAGAACAACGTACGCTTTGCCGAGGTATCCTTTATTATTATTATTATTTATACAGTCGCTATTGAATACTCAGTTGATAGGCAACAGCGGCAAACATCTATGTGAGTAACACTTCCCTGTGGGGTGCTCGTCTTGAGGTGGCAACCCGCGCAACTGCCACCTGAAAATCACTGGTTTTTGTCCTTGTTTGGACTTTAAATATCATTGTATATGCGGCACTAATAAAACATTAAGCCAACCTACTCATCAATAACAGTACTAAACAATTATGGAAAATCGAGATAGGTAATGAAGATACAATACGAAAACCTTTTTGCCTTCGTAAAAAAAGCCTTTGTATCTAACCTATTCAGTTCAAACTTAACAAAAATACAAATGTTCTTTCGATAGTGATACTTCGCCCATTACGTATGAGCAAAAATCGAACACATGGCGCCATTAGTATGACTCGATTTACGTTTACAATGTTAAAAAGCATAGAACGCTATCGAAAAATTAATTAATTCAAAGATCGTAGGATGCACACAGCTCCTGTTCATAACGACGACATATGAACAGGAGCCATATGCATCATCCGATCTTCAAGTGAATGTTTTTTTTAAGGTGCGTTGAATCTGGTCACAAATTATACCCACATGGGACAAAGAGACGTGCGTTGGAATAATGAATTCAACAAATGTCTGTCCAGTCGTTTGCCACCAAGAAAGGTGGCATTTTTTTTTTAGGTTTTTGGGCTCCAGTCACGGCGGTAATCGAGCATAGGGAAAGCATTGAGCTATCAGCATCAGATGCGCTCATTTACGCTGTGCCGCCACATTAACTGTGCACTGTTACTACACTGCACAGTGTGTCTATTCCATAGGACAGCAGTAGCCTATATCTGTTTGCCTATCTGTCTGTCCGACGGAGCCCAGTGAAGTTCGTAGCAGCAGCAGCAGCAGCGGCGGCGGCGGCGGCGGCGGCGGCGGCGACGACTTTGCCAGCGTCGGCAGTAGAACAGCAAATATAGCCGGAGCGAAAGTAATGTCGGGACAACATAGCCATCGCGAGAAAACCATCATCAGTGCCAACTGCAGCGTGATTATGCCGTCTCTGCTTCTGCTGCTAATGAAATGACGATAGACGTCGAGACATCGGATCAAAATCATTTCAACTACTGAAGCTAGTTCTTCTGCTATGGCCGACCCGACACTGGCAGATTATCACCGGCAACAGTAGTAGCAGCAGCAGCAGCATCGTATATATAAATTCGATGGCAGAAGCATCAGTGACCGCAGAGCTGCTGCAGCTGCCAGGGATGGTGGTACTTGATCACCGTCATCCTCGTTATTTTAATGATGATCATCACGATAATCATCACAGTGATGGTAGTGTCGCTGAAGCAGCAGCGGTTTTGCTTCAGTAAGCGTAGACCACTGAATAACGTACCGGTCATTAAAGCAACAGACATATACACTTCACTATATATAATATTCTCCACATATAGGTATAGGCATTGACATACTGATCGTTGCGATGAATTGCCGGAATTTAATAGGTATTTATTACATATTGAGCCGAGAGTTGTTCTTTGTTGAAATGATTGTGGCAGTTGAATGAATAATAGTTAGTTCTAGTTATTGGTAGAAGAAAAGCCTCCGTTGATGGCGAAGGGCAATTTCGCGCTTCGTGTGTTGCAATCATTCAAAAATGACGCCTGCTAACAATGATCTAAGCAGACCTGATTACGCCTAGAGAATTACCTCTGCGACGTAAACAATAAGATATTTCAAATGAATGCTGAAAATATTGTGCCGTCTCTGTTTGGTTAAGCAATTTAAGATAAGGACGACGATATTATATCTGTCAACAGAGAGATTTTTGTTTCTAGCACAAAGAAACGCTTAGTTTGATGGGCTGTGTGCAACAAAACGAGGCCAATTAGTCAAAAAACTATGTTGGTATATATATATATATATATTCTATGGACACTTTCGTATTGCAATATACGCCACGTCTTCAGTTAAGCAGCTTTTCCCTAGGTCAAACAAACCACTTTGGCGTCTAATAGTTTATCGACCAGCACTTCTGAGTATGGCGACCATTTCGGCCCTAGCAGCCAGTGTCTACCGAACCAGAATCGTTTCGTTTATCGACAGAGATCAGATACATCAGATGGACGGACCGTCTTCCACCATCGACGGCAACACCACAACGACAACGACGAGTAGAGGCGCCGACAAGCAACGAGGGCCGCCGGGACATCGGTTCGGCTCGCATGAACGAAATTTTATTTTGTCTAGGAGATTCCTATCGTGACAAAAAAAGAGCTATTGTATTAGTTGAACCTTGTCGGAACGCCGTAAGTCAAGACGAAGTAGCGTAATACTGCTGGTTGATTGTTGGATGATTATGTTTGAATAAGGTGACTGGACGGATTATAGCACAATTGTCAAAGCTGAAACTAATTAGATATGCTGGCCGGTGGGGTCACTTCCGCCGTTATAGTATGAAATCTACTCGTCCTTGCTATCCCACACGAGCGATTCCAGGAGCGAGCCTGCAGTTTACGAGTGAAATAAAACGCTTTCAGCTTGTATTCATTTTTACGTCTAGTCGAAAGTACATTACCGGTTTGCCGACTAAACAGTCTAGGCATTGCGAAGGAAAATCAGGATTAGGTGCCGGGCCTATCACGAAGACAGGCCCACCCCGCATCGCAGTTGCAAATTTCAATTGAACCTGTAACCAAGTAGTATCCAAATGGGCACTGATCACACTAACTCCTGATGTCTCTCTCCTGCTGGCGTCCGAACGAGGCCCATCTAACACAGCGCACACGAGTTTCTTTCTTCATTCCTAACCACATTAGCGTAGCAGACCAAACGATATATTTAGATCTGGATAGCCTCTAAAACTGTGTTAGACGAGCACACGTTAAGCCGCCGTATGTGCATTAATTGTACCACGACGCAGTATCCTCTGAGCTTTCGGTGATAGAGGTTGGTTGGGGATGTTGGGTAAGGGGGGAGGCGAGGGCACTATATCGAGACTAAGATTATTACTATTACTATTACAATGATTCTCCATTATTTAGGTAGATATTTAGGCGTTCTAAATATCCTAGATCCTAATATTTCAGCCTGTCGGTTTTAACGTGGCCCATTTGCATGGCACTGGCGCATTTTCTCCCGACGAAGAACTCTTCCTCTAGTCGATGTTGAACTATATAACTATCTATTGAACGGCGATTGACCATGAAGGTTAACTGAACGCATTGGTTAGAACCCAACGCGTTCGCAACGCATTATCCAAAATACTCGTACCGGTCTCGCGGATCGACCCATGTGGTTTGCCGGTTGACATGGTCGATGAAATAGGTTCTGCCGTCAAGATCCCGGCCAACTTCCCAGCCATTTGGCAGGGGTAGGCTGCGCCGCTTCGGCATCGCACTTCACTGCTCACGTTTCAATACGTCTGCGGCCGCCGCGGGGCCATACGCTCCCACCGCGTCGCCGTCACTACAACAACAACAGTAACTCCAATTGTCTTAGCAGAGCCCCTACACAACACGCACAAACACGCACTAATAACTCTGAAGCAATAGCAGAAGAGGCCGATTCCTTTTAATAGTGCGTTTGCACCGACACTGACTTTGATGAACTATTTTTCCGTCTATATCGGTTGGTCGCATAGGCCAGGCCGCACACGCAGTCGCTTGTGCTGCGATAGCTTGGGAATAAGTAGCAGTACTATACGACGGCCTCTGCGATTCCGAACGCCGAAGCCAAGAGGAAAGCAGTTTCCTTCTTCACGAAATATTGATGGCTGCTATTATTATTTCGTGATTTCTTTTGCACACGCAGCCCGTTGTTCCTTTGCCTGCCGCTGCGGCTATCGCGGTTGTCCGTGGCGAGGCAGGCAGTCATTACAATGCAGCTGCTGCTTCGGCAGCTGTTTTCCTTATTCTCGTACTTTGCGTTTGTTGACGAGAACTCGACCGAGTAGGCGACAAGGATTGCACAACCATCAATGAACCTTAATCCAATGAGTAGCTGCTGATGTAGAACTACTAATAACGCTGTGAAGAGACACAGTTACAACAGTCGGATGAACACTCTATGAAAGGGGACACTCTCTGCTGCCTCGACTGGCGCCGCCGCCGCCGCCGCCGCCACCGCCGTTGCGAGCGCCGCGATTTCCGTCGCGGTCGCTGTTTTGATATCCACCAAATCGTTATGAGAGCAGCTGCAAACTCTTAACTAACTCGCACTGAACTCCTCCGCCCGCTGTGTGCTCCACGACGGCTGACGGCTGGTAGAACCGACACAGCCGGCGACAAGCGGGCGAAGCAACGACTCTGCTTCTAGCTCTACTGCGGCTATACGACCAGCTCGAACAAGAACACAATCACCACTACAACCGCTGTCTAACAACAGCAGCAGCAGCAACAGTCGCCGTCACTATGCCAGCCAACTAGGCAGACGAGGGCGGCAGCAGCAGTAGCAGCAGCAGCCGCATCAGCAGCACCACCATCACCATCCACAGCCCGCTGCTACTAGTGTTGCTGCTGCTGCGATACATCCACTATCGCCAGTACAACACAGCCAGGCAGACAAAGAGACAGCTAAGCAGCAGCAGCAGCAACCAGCTCGACTCAACTGCTGCGACTGCTGGTAGCAAACGACAGCCACAGCAGAAGCAGGAGCGCCATCTTGCATTCCTTTGTCGTGACGTCACTATCAGACCAGCGCTCACTGCCGCAGCAAAAACGCACACCGCACCATACGACATGGAAGACAGCGGGCTCACATGCGAGCGAGATACCAGAGCGCGCTGAGCCGGATTCCCTGATATCCTTCTTTCTCTATTCGGAGACAGCCGTGCGACGCGAGGGCCGCTGGTGAGCAACGTGAGAGCCAGATAGCTGCTAGCTAGAAGCAGCCGTCAGCATTCGCTCTGCTTCCTTCGACTGTTTGCAGCAGCAACGACTGCATACCAAAGGGGAGGAGATTCTCAAGTAATCGTCGTCTTCATCAGCAGAACTATCCTTTCCCTTTGCTGTATTCCCTGACGACGACGGTGATAATGATGGCGACAATCACAGAAGCAGTCGCTCGCAGAGCGAATGCCACAGCATTGGCAGGCAGCTCTTACTGATTAATAGTAGCAAGCAGCACAGCCGTCGCAGGCGATCGCTTCTTAGCCTTTTGTTGTTTCCATTTTTCCTTTATTTAACACGATTAGGTTATTGTCCTGTGAACAAGATCTCGCTTATCGACAACTTGCCCCTCTGAAATTCTAACTTGGATCTGCTGGATGATTATCATTCTCCGTCACACCTAGGAATCGGCATGGCGGCCATACAGGCAGCCGCTAGCCTTGATGATACTTTTCTTTTTTTTTTTTTGGTTTTCTAAATTCCCGACATTTCCTCAATCGTTCATCTTTCATTTTAGCTAGTAATATTTGCCAAAGCTGGGATTTGAACGAGTGTGCCAGCATGCTCGCTAGTTTTGGTTAGTATGGCAACGCGCCTAAACAGATACGAATTATCGACCTCAACGGCGTCGTTTTCTTGTTAGCTTTTTGGATAAAATTAAAGTATCGCAGGCAATAATAATGCTGCCACTGATTGTACCGCTCAAATTCGTTGTAGAATTAGACTGGCGTTAGTCTTCAAGTTCTCCTATTGTTGCCGTTGGCGCTGCTGCTAGATGCTCTTTGGAACCGCGACCTTTTGATGACGGACTCCCATCCTAAACTTCTCAGAAGCACACGCTGATTCCGTAGAAGGGCTACAAAAATATACATGTCTGTCTAGAGCTCAACACAGCCTCTGATCTAGTCGTTCGATGATAAACTTGCCATTTGATCCTAGTCTATTGGAAGCGTAAACTGACAGCAGTCACATTGCAGTAACTGTCATCGAAATACCTTCAAGCGGACTCGTAAATACAGTGTACGAGCTCTGCGGAGAGCAGGCTTTGTGTCCAATCCGTAGAACTAGTAACATTTCTAACTAGAAGGCTGTGAGCAACAGACCTAAAGGCACTTCAGAGAAAATCGTCTGCAGACGGTTCGTCATTATCGCATGAACCAGCTTCTCTCTAACGGGGTATACGAGATGATTTTTAACTCTCAGCGGCGGCAGCAATAGACATTTGAGAGCTCCCTACTCCTCCTTCCCTCCCTCTTTAGACAAAACGGTCCTTCTTTGTTGGCGTTTGTTCGGCCTATTTGTAAGGCAACCGCAAAGACGAGGGAACGTGGAAAAGGCGATTACGAGCCGCGGCGCTAGTAGAGCCGTGGTAGCCGCCACCGCTGCCGCCGCCGCCGCCGCAGACGAACGTTTCGAAGAGATGCTGATGTTCAGTGGTTGAAGGAATGACTCTTCGTTGATTGCCATGAGTCTGGTAGAACGTCTGAAACTACTTGGTGATAAACAACAAAACCGACAATCAAATAACCCCGAAGGTACGCGCGTCGATTGCAACTATTGGGAAACTCTTTATTTGAAAGCCTTATAAATTTCTGTGAAAACCATCCCGAAATAACGGAGACGTCGATGTATTACAAGTAAACGGAGGAAAAGCGTAAACATTTTGTATTCCAAGGTAAATAAATGTTGGTTCATATGGCGTTCAACTTCGAAATCAAGTAGTCTTGGAAAAACAAGCCTGAACTCAGGCCGGTTTTGTCGCAAAGCCTGGCTAAGATTTCTGTTCTGCCTTTTTAGGAAGGAAATAGTTTCTTTTAGCAACACACAGAGGCAATAGCTTTTAAGGTCTCAGCTCCTCAAAAAATGAATTTTTTCGGGCACTACAGGCCCTTTGAGTTATTACCATACATTTGGGAATGTGTGGCTACCATCATCGTAAAGGAGACTTGTTTTGCCCTAGAGTTCAATACGAAAGCGTTTAAAGTTGTTTTATATACTTTTACTTTGCACAATATTTAGACTTTGTTCACAGTTGACGCTCAGCTGTCCTTTCTGTGAAATGTGTTGCAACAACTGCTTTAGCGCTGCTACAAGGATCTGGCAACGAGGCAGACTTAGCACGAACAATCAAGAAGAACCGCTCAGAAAAAAAGCACTGCTATAATCGTTAGCGAATTTTTACTGAAAGATTAAAGTGTGTCTACGCTGAGATTAGAGCCTAACGAACGTGTTACTATTGCACCATGACGGGATATCTTTGCGGAGAACCGGTAACGGACCCGATAAAGTTTCTCAAGGGCCGTCTATTTATACTTAACAATGCCTGTCACATGTATATGTGAATTTAGATGAGCAACAAGTTGAACAACAACGATTTGTGTCAATACCTGCCTTGTTGGTTGGTTGGCTATAATTCACATCGACGTCTCAACTTCCGGTGTTTGTATAAAAAGTGATTATACGAGCTATGGATTTTTGATGTCAAGTCGGGCCCCTTGAAATAATTAGAAATGAAATAATCAAGTTATGAAGAGTTGCAAATAAAGATTCCAACGCTCGGCTCGCAATGGCCCGAGAACTGTTCCAATCCGACAAAAAACGCAGATGGCACGAAAGTGAGAATGAAGAGACTTTGAAACTTCATGTATTACGTACAACGTTCTGCT